TGTCATTGGCTGAGGCAGCCGCGCGCGATGCCAGATCGCGTCGCAGGGAGCTGCGCAGGGGGCGCCTCTGGGAGGGGCTGCGGCGATTGTCCCCTTCGGGAAATTGAATGCGCTGCCGCTCCGGGGCCCTTCGCTGAGACGCCCGCCCCGCGCGATTCTCAATGGCGCGCGCGCGTTCAGAGACAGAAGCGCCAGCGGGGGGCGTGACCTTAGCCGCGGCCCAGCGGCGGGGGCGCGCGCAAGCTTTGTCTGGAGACGTTTCTCTGGCGCCGCAGCTGCGAGCGCGCCCGCGAGCGCAGCTCCCATCAGCGATGGCTGGAGAGGAAGATGGACGCAAAGCGAATCCAGTGGCGACTCCGAGGCGAACTGATGGCGTTTCCACCGGCGCATGGGGGCGATCACAGGCGGCGCCCGGCAACGTTCCATCGGGCGCACCAGGCGCCGGATCACGATGCGAGGCCCCGGGCGCGCGAGCGGGGGCGCGCGCGAGCGGCGGCGGCGGCGAGTCGGGAAGAAGCTCGCCAAGGGCAGCCGCGAGCGACGCGGAACTGCCTGCGCCTGAAAAGGGGGAGATGGGCATCGCGGATTCCCTCGCCCTCTCCGCGTCGTCGCTGCGCCCGCGCGCCGTCGAAGACTCCGCGCGCGCAGCGGCGCTGCGCCCCGGGGGGGGCAGGGCCATGTGGCGGAGTCAAAAACGAAGCGTAGCGCGGCGACGAAGAGAATAAAATAATATGATATGCGAACCTACGGAGTGTACCGTAGGTAGACGTGAGTAAGGAAGAGGGTAGCTAGTCCTTCTCCAGATCGCTACGATGTTGGCAGCGCGGTATGCAGCACCAATACCTTGAGCCAGTACGTTAGCGGCGTGCAACGATATGGTGGTGATATGAGCGGACTTCACACACACGCGCATTTCCAACCTTGTCGTAACCGGTGACCGACTTCGGTCTCCACTGGGCTGTCAAATACCACGCGTCTGCCCAAGTACTTGTTGGAAGTTTGAATTGGCACGATTTCGATCTGCACATGGTCAACTGTGGCGGGCCTTCGTTCTCCCCGTCCGGTTCCTTTCGTAGCATTCGCAATGATGCGTGTCCTATCTTGAAGAAGAAGAAGAAGCCACACTGCAGCAGCTGACTTCCGAATGTCCGACAGCCTTCGTACAACCTGTTGCCAACTATGACTGGTGAAGACGTCGTCTGCGAACCGCAAGTTTGTCAGTCGAGAACCTTCGCTGTACCCGAATTCCGCGACATATTTTCGATCAACCTACTAATGCTTCACGTCCCAGAAAATATGCTCCAACAGCGCATCGAAGAAGAGCGAGCCCAAAGGGTCGCCCTGCTTGGTGCCCCTGGATCTGTCGAGCGTTTTGCAAAACAACATTTGCTCTGATACGACCCTTCTGCCCTGCGCACAGTTGTGAGAGCAACGAAATGTATACAACGTGCACGTTCTGCTTCGCCAGCGCATTCCATAAAGCCTGATGCCCCACTGCGTTGAAAGCCGTCTGGAAATCAATCGCCGCGCACCACAGGGGCAACTGAAATTGGTCAGCCTTCGCTTGTACATATTCTGTACTGAATCCACTCCGGAAGCCTGCTGGGTCAGGGCACTGGCCCTCTTCCAAGATTGGCGAAAGACGATTAAACAGACATCTGGCAAACACTTTATAAAACGCGGGTAAGCTGGCAATCGGTCTGTATTTTTCCAAATCTTTCATCACCAGATTTCGAAATTACCGTGATCACTGCGTGTCTCAAGCTCTCTAGAGGCGCGGTCGGGCCGCAAGACATCATTGAACAGCTCCGTTACCGTTTCCACCAAAACCTCACCACCTGCAATGCGCATCTCTCGAAAAACACCACCACGATCACGGCGCCTCTCCGCTTCAGCTGCTTCGCGGACTCTCGGATGTCGTCCGGCGAAAAATCAGGTACACGACATCGCTTTGTATTTTCAGCCAGAACGCTAGCAGCTTGGACCGTTGATTTGGGCAAGTACAATTCTTCATAAAAAGACAAATCAAAACATTGGCATCCTGTCCATGCCAGAGAACTGAATCAAAATGTCGTTGATGCGGTCGCTCGCCACGGCTTTCCTCATTCAGCGGACTGGTTTCGACATCTGGTTGCTGAATGTTTCCCGCAATGTCGTGGCATCACTTGGTAATGACTTTCGCTCCCGGACTCGTTGTTGCAAGCGGTGTCCCCGCAACTTCCCAAATGACTGATTCAAACTGTGCCGCACGATCGCTCACGTCAGCAGGCCTCTCATCGTCGGCAAACGCGCGGCCGCAATGTTTCTGCATACCTTTGCGAGTGAATATCTTTCCCAGAAGAAGAAAAGCAATGATATTGTTACTCGATTCGCTTGATACTCGAGTCCTCCTTCTGGTGAACCCAAAAGGACAATATGAAAACAACAGCGTGATCCAACTCAAAATCCAAACCTCGATCTGACCCACAATATTCCACCAACTTCCGGCATCCACGGTCAACCATGAAATAGTCGATATGTATGATCCTTGCTCTCGTACACGTATGCGCGATGATCTTCTCCAGCGGTTTTGGAAAAACAAAAAAACATAAAAGCATATCTTTCATCGTGTCCCATTGCGCGAGCCATTGCCACCCGGAATTTTCGCGACTCAGGCCGCATGTGCCCACCACCAGCGGGTCATCAAACTCCGTCTGTCTGCCGGTCTGAGCGTTGCAATCCGCGCCAATAAAGAAACGGGATTGATTTGACTTCGCCTCCCGCCCGAAAGAAGACAACGTGTTGTAAGCCTCCTGAACGTATATGTCTGCATACTTAGAGTGAGGAAAGTAAGCTGTAACAACCCTCATGCGACAAATCTTTAACTTGCTCTCCAAAAGCGCGGTACGCTCACTCACAGCAATAAAATTGTCAATAAATTTCGCCCACCAACGATGCACATTGATGGCCACGCCCCTTCGGTGCTTGGAGTACCCAACTCCCGCAAAGATGTGCCCCTCCGCGTGGGCATCCAGGCGCCACGTTTCATTAAGAATGAGAATGTCCTACGTTGCATCGATCAGCTCCCTCAACATCTCCTCGATCCTCCCCTCACTGGTGAGTCCTTTCACATTCCTCTGGTACACGTGCAATAGTTCGTGCTGCTTCTTTACGCCGCGCAGCGCTGCCGCTGGAATGTCAGCAGATACTTCTCTATAGCAATGTCGTCCGCCTCCCTTTGACACCTCGACTGGGCGTCCAACTCTTCCCTGCTCTTGCCTTCATTATTCATCCTCGTCGTCCATGCCCCTTTTCTTCCTCCATTCCTCCATGTGCTGCTCCACTCCCTCCTTCACCTCCTCCCCCTCGTTCTCATAGTGCCAAGCCCCGTCCTCCATCCATGCAATATCATTGCTCTTCAACCCCACGGCTTGGCTCATCAAGATAATCTTGATATCATTAATGTCGTGGCTTTTTCCTGACGTGTAGCTGATATTGTTCCTGTCCAAGCTGCTTATTAATAGCTCGAGTCTTGAGGCCATCATTGCATTTGAATCCCATCGACTCCCCTGTGGACCATGTGCGCTTCAACGTTTACTTTTTAGAAAAAAAAGCAAATATTTGCAGCGAAGATGTGAAACTGGATGGCCCCGAATTTCGACGGATCGCTGTAGAGAAATATGTGATCATGCCTGTCGTCCCACCGCAACGCCTTGACAACATCCGTCACGTCTTGCACGGTCTCGTCCCCATCCTTCTCCTCCACGAGACCTTTTACATCCACATGCAGGTTCCGGGTCTGTTGGTCCTCATCTTCGTGATCGCGTTCGTCATTCATTGGCTTATGACTCGGTTGTGTCTTGGATGCTCTTGAGCTTCTGATGGGTCTCATTCATGTCCTTTTCGCTAGACGTGTTTTTCTCGTGTAGTTTGGTGATGCCCCCATTCATCATCTTCCGCTCCCCGATGGCTCTCCCGGCCGTACCCTTCGGCACATGCAAATCTTCATTCATGATCTGCATGTCCTTTTCCATACGCATCATCATGTTGTATATAGTATCGATCTTCTCATAGTGGAATAGGTTATGCCCGTGATGCTGTTTCGACTCCAGCGAGGCCAGCACTTCTTTCTCCCCAGACCTCGAGTTCATGTCTATGCGCTAGCTGCCAGACAACATACAATATGCAAGACGAACAACAAGGAATCAGCGGTACCGACGGATCCCATGTGCTCAGCTCTTGAAGAATTTGAGCTTGAGGAAGAGGAGGATGAGGAGCAGGACCAGTGCAAGCTCAAGACTCATCAACGATGTTCGAATAAACCCTGACCCTGAAATACGCCAAAACACAACTTTCGAGACTCCAATGCCACGCATCAACTTGACTGTTGCGTCGTGGCGATCCTCACCCTCACAATTCTGAACCCTTCCAAAACACCAATTGTGGTAGGGCTGACCTTGGGAATGCGTGAAGCTGTTGCACATGTTTAACACGAATGCGCGCGGCGCTGAAACGAGAACCACATGTTGAAAACCAACCGCCTTCAATCCTTGAAATAATTGCAGATTATGTCAAACGAGTGTGCGCGGCGCTAAAGCGAGAACCACATTTTGAAAACCAGCCGCCCTCAATCCGTGAAAATTAAAAATTGAAACGAATGTGCGCGGCGCTGAAGCGAGAACCACATTTTGAAAACCAACCGCCCTCAACCCGTGAAATTCTTGCAATTGTTTCAAGCGAGTGTGCGGGGCGCTAGAGCCACATTTTGAAAACCACCCGCTCTCCATCTGTGAAACTGTTGCCAATGTGCAAGCGCCAGGGTCATACATGGTGAGGACGTCGCAGGTGAAACGCCCGGCCCGCCCTTTCGATCGGCCTCGGGGTGCGACAGGGATGACTTTTTCGAAAGAAAAAATAGAGGAGGAGGAGGAAGGGAGAAGGAGGAAGAGGAAGAGGAGGGTCAGTAGCAGGAGAAGGGGGCACATGGCTGGCCCCTTTGCCTGCCCTGGCCCCGCCCTGGCCTGGCCGCACAGGCGCGTCCACCCAGGTGCCGGTGTCCCTGCCCCCGGCCGCGCGGAGGAGGCGGGGAGGGGGGGGGGCAGGAGGGGAGGGGAAGGGAGGGGAGGGAGGAGGGTGCCAAATGTTTCCCTCGACCCTCGAGGGTCGAGGGAGGAGGCTGTCGGACGTTCTTCGCCCTCGCTGGGCCCCCAGAGGCCTCCGGGTGCCCTCGAGGTCAGGACCTCGAGGGCAGCAACAAAGCTTACCAGGGGACGGGTGATCGGGTGACCAGGCCCGCCATGCAGGGAGACACGTCATGGCACTCACACAATCTGACGTCGCGGCCGTCAGTTGGCCTCGGCGGTCCGCCAACGTGTAAGAAGGCCCGCGCAGATCGGATTTTGGCGACGAGGTCCCGAGAGCTAAATCTACAGAGGTGCAGAACACGGCGCGCCAACATGTCAAGGTCCCGAGCGCTAAATGTCCAGCATCATGTGTGCCTCGGGCATCCAGTGGTCGCAGGCAATAATCTGATTCGGCCACGGCTGCGCAAGACATTGAGAAATCCTCCTCCTCTTCCTGCTCCTCCTCCTCCCCCTCCTCCGCCTCCTCATCCTCCTCCTCCTCCTCCTCCTCCTCCTCCTCCTCATCCTCATCCCTATCCGGATCCTCATCACTCCTCATCATCCTGGCTCATCAACACTCCATCTCTTCATCCTACTCCTTCCTCCTGCTCATCCTCCTCCCTCTCCTCATCACTCCTCGATCCCCACTCATCCTCCTCCTCACCATCATCATCGTCGTCATGATCATTAGCAGCAGCATCATCAACAACAGCATCACCATCATCCTCATCCTCATCATCATCACCATCATCAGCATCATCATCAGCATCATCGTCGTCATCAGCAGCATCATCATAGTCATAAGCATAATCATTACCATCATAATCAACTCCATACTTATAAATATCATCATCAGCATCAGCATCAACAAAATCAGCATCGTCATCAGCAGCATCATCATTATCGTCGTCATCATCGTCGCCCTCATATCACCACCATCAGACGCATCACCATCATCATCTCTACAACTCCACAACAACCATTATCATCAACCACATCGGAATCATCCACATCGTCATCATCACCATCATCATCATCACCATCATCATCATCATCATCATCATCATCATCATTATCGTCATCACCACCACCACACTCAGCATCGTCAGCATCATCATCATCGCTGGCATCATCATCAGCAGCATCATCATCAGCCCATCATATCATCATGCTCATCACCATGATCATCATCAGCATCATCATCATCATCATCATCATGATCGTCATCGCCGTCATCATCCACATCAGCAGCCTCATCAGCATCAGCATCAACGTCAACAGCATCATCATCATGATTCGTATCTGCATCGTCATCGTATTAATAAAAACATCATCCTCAGCATGATCCTCATCATCTTCATCGCCATCATCATCACCAGCATCGTCACCAGCTGCATCAATGCCAGCATCGGTTTCAGCAGCATCCTCATCAGCACCAACATCATCGTGAGTATCATCACCACCATCAACAACCTCATTATCACCGTCATCAACATCATCATAATCATCAGCATCCTCATTGTCACTGTCGTGATTAACGTCGACGCTGTACTTTGCACGATGAGATGTGCTGTGCTCGTCCGTCGAGCATCTGGCGCCGGCCCGTGCCGGCGAGCGTGTCTGCCGCGCTCTCTGCACAAAAGAGGGGGCCCCCTCCTCGATCCCATACAGCCGCGGAGGCGGCGGCAAAAGAGAGAGTGAGGAAGGAGAGGTTGACTCAAAACTTCGCTCGAGTCGCCTCGGCTCGACATGAGCCTAAAATCCTTCTCAACCGTTCCGACCGAACTGGATCAAAAGAGGGGCCCTGCACAGTACGAATATGAAAAGGAATGATGAGAAAGAGCCCGACCCTATCCTCAAGATAGGTCGAGAAAAGCTAAAGCGTCGGCGGCCTCGGCTTCAGCGTCGGTAGATGCCTGCGGCTTGTCCTGAGCGAGTTTGTTGGCTCGCTGTCGCTTCCTGGCTGACATAAAATCCTCATCGTACCTGATGATCCAGGTACGCCGTGCAAGCCACAGAGCCAGAGGCTTCCTTGCCTCGGGACTGTCCTTCGTGAGGCCGTCGGTGAGATTGAGGTCCGAGGGGACCCAAACCAGATGCTGGTTCTTCTCGGGCCCGCAGTTCGCCTTCACATGTAGAACCTCCACGCCGGTCCTCGCATCGCTCAGGCCTATGCCGAAACTCTCCTTGTTGTGAACTGAATCATAAACTCCTCGGCTGTCGATCACCAGCACCGAGGTCATGGATCGCGCCACCTCCTCCTGAGTGTGCGCGGTGACTGGAACTCCGTGCATGACTGACCACAGCAGGCGCATCAGGTACGCCGCGTTCTCGCCGTCGTACAGAGCCTGTCCCTCGCAGCCGTTGGTGCCGATGCCGGTGCGCTTGAGCTTGTACGATCTCCAGTCGGCGATCGATACTGCACATTCCTTCTGCTTGAGGATCTCGGCCGTGGTGAACGCCACGATGTAGCCTCCTCGTTGTAGTAGTCTGCTTGCGTCGACCCACGTCACGATCACTAGGTCGTCCCACTTCAGCTTACCGCCACCGTTGCTATTGAAGTTGTGGAACACCAGGGAATCACGAGCTGTCCGCTTCACATCGCGTATGAGGGCGTTCGTGTCCTTCAGGTCTCCGAACGTCGCCTCGTTCACCCGTTGAGCCAACAGTGACACCCGACATGAGAACTGTGGTGCTGTCTGTGTCGCTCTCCATTGGCATTTCATCAGGCCTGCCCTGAACTGGGTGACGTCCTCCGGCTTGAGCTTGTCATCCTTCGAGAGGTACTTGCCGGACTCGACCCTGATCTCGAGGAGCTGGTGACAGAACTCCTCCTGGCTAGCATGGATCTTGCCCGATGGCTCCTGGGTGATCCACATGCCTGCCCACATGCATGGCGTGCTTCGCCATGGAGACCACCGCAGCATCTCCTTCAGCATGTTCTTCATGTCGAGGTAGAACTTGTTGTCGCTGTCGCCTGCGATGCCAAAGTCGTCCACGTGCGAGCCAATGACCCCGCACACGGTGCCGTTCTGGTCCTGAATGATCCAGATGCATGGCTCGATGAGGACGCTCTTGCCTCCTGCTTCGTGGATCTTGTGGTCCACGTACTTCCAGAAAACCCACGGCGCATTCGTGATCCCGTAGATCGCTGCCAAGACTCTCATGGACTCCTCCTCGTTGATCTGCAAGGCCTGCCGGAGCTCCTTCACGCCCTTCGTGTAGAGCTTCCTCCACTCCTCGGTGTGCCCGGCCTGCAGGAAGGCGGACTTCGCGTCGGCTAGCTCGAAGGTCCAGCCGTGGAAAGCAGCCATCTGGAGGAGTGCCAGCTTCCCTTTTCTTGAAATGGTTGGTGACGCCGTGGGAAGTACCCGATCTCCGAACTTGTCCCGACTGACAAGGTCTGGATGTGAGAAGCCCAACAGAATGATACGGGCCTTCGCCTTGAACTTCCCGTCCGGCGTGCTCACGGGGTGTGGGTCCGACTTGTCCGGTGGTTCAGGTGGTGTCAAAGGCTTCCAGGTCAGTAGCCACCTCATCTTGATCAGCTTGTCCGCTGGAATGTCTTTCCCATGATTGTAGTCAGCGTAAGCTGATGCAGCCCGGACTGTCGGTACTTCCAGATGTTCCGCCAGCTCCCGTGCCATTGCCTCTTGAAACAGTGGCCTCTCCTCGGGGCTCAGGCGGCCAAACGAAACCTCCACACCCTTCTTGACCGTGTTGTTGGCCACTCGGTTCAGCTGCTTCTCCAGATACGCGCTCGCATCGAAGCAGAACTCCTCAAGGTCCGTCTCGATCTCGATCTTCATCAGGTCCATCTCGGTTTCGTTATTCGGATCCTGCACGAAGTTGATGATGTCAGTCTCGCTGGCTTCCGCATGGTCGCTCGCCGTCTTGAAGAGGGCAGCGTGAGCAACTTCAGCTGAGGCTCTTGATGAAGATGATCTCCCAAAACGCGGTTGGAAAGCTTCAGTCGGTACAGGTGGCCATGACACAGTCGGTTGCTTGCCTCTCAATCTTGTTCGCTTAGTCTGTGGTGGCTCAGGTGCTGAGTTGTCCTCGTCGACCTCCAAGTCGTCATCTGCCTCCGTGACGTCGTGGGGTTCCACGGCCACATCGGGATTCTCGACCACCCTCGGCATGCCCTCAAGAGGTTGACGTGGTAGCATCCTCATGCCATCTGCCGTTGGGGAGGGCTCCCCGGCGATGTCGTCAAAGTCCTGGAGGTGTCTCCAGACATCCTCGAGCGGACTGTTGAGGATGTCGTCCTTCTTCAGGTTGATCTGGACGATCTCCGACTGCGTGGCTGGCCGCAGTTGCTCTGCTGCACAGCGCCAGCATCGGTTGCCCATGATGACCCAGATCACGCCGTCCTTGTTGCCTGTCTGGACCGCCGGCTCGGAGAACAGAACTCTGCCCGGTCCGATGAAGAGGCCGTCCGTGAAGAAATCCTGTCCGGAAAGCTTTCGCTTCCCAGTCGCAGCGTACGACCGCCAGACACAGACCCAGTCGCCTCGCTTATATTCATGTCGAGGTCGTGGGGCTGAGTTCTTCAGCTCAGAGATCTTCCTGGACGCCTTCTCCTTCAGGTAAGTCGCCTCTGCATCCGCTCGTACCCGCTCGATCTCGAAGAAGTCGGACTTCAACTTGCCAGTAGCTGCGTTATGCGCCAAGATTGGGTCCTCGGTGGGAGAGTACCCAAAAGCCCACTGCATCGGCGTGTAGCCCTTGATGTTGTCCATGTTGTTGGCCGCCGCAATCGAGATGTAGAACACGGTCTCGGGACTCAGCTTCGGGTATTGTAGGCGAAGCTTCCTCATTACCTGCTTGACGGTCGAGATGCGGCGCTCGATGTCGCCAGCCATCCAATGTGCTCCTCCTGGTTTCGCTGAGACGCCGATGCCGGCCAACTGGCAGTTGTCTTTAAACTCGCCAC